AGACGGTACAATAAAGATTAATTTTGGATATCAACAATCCAAATCTACAGTTCAGCTAAAACAATTGACCAAGTCGGAATGAAATTGTGTATCGACATGATAATCAGTAAACAAGTACAGTCAGATAGAAAAACAACTAAGTATGAATTAGAAAACTTTTGTGAACAATAAGGTCTAACATCGATTCCCCCATTTAGAAAAATTAAAATCTATGATGGTCAAACTAGTAAAACTAGACATTACACTAAAAACAATAACAAATTTTATAATAAAAACAAAAAGAAAAATCGGTCTAAAAAACTCAAAAATTTTAAGAAAAATAAATTCCCCACTGCCTCCAGATAATTGTTGCAACACTAAGACAATAAATGTTCTTACAAAACAAGAAGAATTATTAATTGACTTAATTAGTAAAGTTGAAAACCCAGAATTAAAGTCTGAGCATTTAAAGAAACTTAAAAAGGTCATTAGTGAGGGAGAAATAGAGCATGAAAAAACTCCTCCTCCAAAAATAAGTCTAAGCTCAACCTTAGAAAGATTCAATTCAAGCAAGAAAGAAATCACCTTACAAGATCTACAGCTTGAAGTAAAAAATGTCAAAAGAGAAATTATAACTTTAAAAAAAATAAGTCATGAACTACAAAATGAAAACTATGAAATAAAACAAGATTTAATCAGCCTAATGAAATAAAACTGTCAGACCAGTCTGATGAAGAATCAGTTAAGACAAGGAAAGAAGAAACCTAAAACACACTCTGACAAAGAAGAACAGTCAAGTAATCAAAAAACTATCAACCTAATTAAATAGTTAAAACTTAGAAAATGGTATTCGAAAGTCAACATTTTTATTGGCGACTTTAAATTCAACCCCATAGCCCTATTTGATTCGGGTGCAGATCTTAATTGTATACAAAAAGGTTTTATTCCAACCAAATATTATAAGAAGTCAAAAGAATCCTTAGGAACTGCTTCTAGTAAACCACTTCAACTAAAGTATGAAATTCGTAAAGCTCATCTGAATTACAAGTCTTAAAGGGAGAATGATTGCACAGCAAACAACACCATGCCAAAAGAAGAAACCTACATGCAGCAACCAAAGGCAGAATGATTGCACAGCAAACAACACATGAGCAGAAGATGCGGCTGCAGCTAAAGGAATTAAAGAAGAGCTTGTAGGCGTGGGAATACAGCAGCCAGCATGTGAAGATTGGCAGCAGTACAGAAGAAAGAGAAAAGCAAGGGCATTGGCTCCCTTCGCTCTCTATAAGTAGAGAACTCAGTAAGAGGATGGGGAAAAGACGAGTGTCCAGATTTTGGTGAAGACTTGGGCACCAAATAGAGTTAGAGTTAGAGACCCTGGGGAGCCGAGAGGCAAGGATCCAAGGGCATCTACTATTCTAGTTTTTCTCTTAGTTTTCCTTTTAAGTTCTCAATTGTTGTAATAAAATTCTTTTGCTATATTTTCCTTTATGTTTTTTTTCTTAGTTGTATTTTATTTTTCATTGTCATGTAATTTCTTATTCTTAAGTTTTCAAGTTTGATTAGTTTCCAAGTTTCAATTACGTTTCTTGTTCTTATTCATTATGCTTATAAATCAATATGCCTGTTTGAATGATTGATCACCATTAAAACTTGTATGTTAACTATCTTGGTTGGAATTAAAAGTAGACACCATATGCCTTAATTTGAATTGAACTATGAATATGAAAAGTATGTATGTACATTTCTACAATAGGGATTAGATACGTGCTTGGTTGTTTAAAACATTATTCTATGCTTAATGGATTTCTAATGCTTAACTTAGGTTCGACAACAAATTATCTAATTAGGGAATTAGGCATACAAGGTTAGGATCAAACATCATGGCTTAATCATACTTTAGCTAGAATCAATCTGTGAATCTGAATATAACTTGTTAACTTGATTATTTTAGATTTTTGTCTTTCATTTACTTGTTTACTTTCATCGTTTAAGTTTAGTTCCTATTTTCCTTACCTAATCAAAACACCCTATTTCTATTTTGTACAAGGAATCGAATCGAATTAATCTATAATCGAATTGAATCAATCTCTCATCAATCCACTTAGGATCGAACTTGCACTTACATATGCTATACTACCTATTGAATTTCAGAATATAATGAATGAAATCTTCAATCAATTCAGTGAATTTTCTATAGTATATATTGATGGTGTTCTCATCTTCTCCCAGTCAATTGAACAATATTGGAAGCATTTAAAGAAGGGTATACTAGTTATTTACCCCATGAACTTGTACCTAACTTTCGATTTGCCCCATATCTTTTTTTCTTTTTTTATTATTTATTTATAGAAAATTAAGGATATGAACTTTTTTTTTCCGCCAATCTCCCCCCTACCATCTAAATCCACAACCTTTCATCCAATTTGCTGTTAAATATGAAGGCAATGTGGTCATTTTGAAGGTTAAAAATAATTTGAAATTTGAAATAATAATAAATGATGATAAAAATAAAGTTTTTATTTTTTTATTTAAAAAAAAAGAGTTGAGAAAATGTCATCCTCAAACTTCCTATTAGCCTATGAATTTTTGCTTACCAACCCCACTTCCTATAAGCCCTCCCCCCCCCCCAAATCGAACACATCCCATACACCAACACCAAAACCTCCACCATATATTTGAACCAAAAAAATCCATATGAACACCCCAAAAAAAAAAAAAAAAAAAAAAAAAAAAAAAAAAAAAAAAAAAACCCAGATCCATTTGATCAAAAATCGCACAAGGGGCAGATGCGTTGTGGCGAGGTGGGTGATTTTGTGGGTGTCAGGGATGGACCTGGGGTTTGGGGGAAGAGAGAGAGAGTGTGTGTGTGTGATGGTTGTGGGGTGGTGGTTGTGGGTGAGTTGTTGAGAGAGAGAGAGGGAGGCTGCAATGGGTAAAGGGGTGGTCGTGGGTTTGGGGGTGTGTTGCGAAGAGGGAGGCAGCGACGGTGGGGAGGGGGGATGGGTTGCGAATTAGTCTTGGGTTGAGTTGCAGGTGGGGAAGGGGGTGAGTTGCAGGTGGGAAAAGGGTAGTCATGTTGGGGAAGAAAAAGAGAGAGGGGAGGGGGGGTTTGTGCGTAGGATAGGTTTTTTGTTTTGTTCCTTTTTCTTTAATTTTTTCTAAAAAAAATAAATTTATTTTTAATGATTTAACTGAAAATTGGATGAAATGTTGATGATTTAGACGGTAAGGGGGAATTTGGCAAAAAAGAAGAAGTTCACATCCTTGATTTTCTAAAAAAAAGGATATGGAGTAAATCGAAAGTTATGTACGAGTTCATGGGGTAAATCACTAGTATATCCTTTAAATAAATTCCTTCAAATAGTCAAGAGTAATGGCTTAGTAGTTTCGCCACTAAGATTAAGTTGTTCCAAACGAATGTTAGATTTCTCAAATTTAGTATCCATTGAGTTATTCAATTTGCTGATAAATTTCCAAACGAAATTCTTGACAAGAGTCAGCTCCAAAGATTCTTAGGATCTCTTAATTATGTAGCTGATTTCTATCAAAACTTAAGAAAGCAATGCAAAACCTTGTTTGATAGACTTCAAAGGATCCTCCTCCTTGGTCTCCTAGTCATATAGAGATAGTTCAGAAAATCAAACTATATGTCAAAACATTACCTTGTCTTGGCATTCCCACAGACAACTCATTCAAAATTGTTGAAACTGATGCCTCTGAAATTGATTACAGAGGCATTCTTAAACAGAAAAAATCTCATAGTCAATCAGAACAAATTGTGCGATTTCATTCCGGAGTTTGGACTTGGTCACAGAAAAACTATAGTACTATAAAAAAGGAAATTTTATATATTGTACTATTCTCGTATCATACGTATGTATGAACTCTTCACAATTAATACATGTTTTTCTCCCGAATATTTTGCAGTGTTTTCCTATTTTTATACTTTCAGTTAGAGTCCTTGTTTGTATAATAAATTTCAGTGGCTTTCATTAATGGATTATTATATATTATCCCATATTGTTAGCTTGCCTAACTTGGAGGTTATTTGGGTTCCACTTCTTTGTTTGACTCTAAATCATTAGTTTCAAGATAGGAAGAGGGAAGAAGAACACTTTAGCGCCAGATCAATCTCCCTTGGTTATTCGTCCAGTTACTCAAGCTATGGCACGTAACAGAAATACAAAGGGGGTTTTTTTTTTCTGCCCTGCATCCATGCTTATGCAATTTTGAAGACTTTTTATTTTTTTTTTTTTTTATTTAAAAAAAAAAAAAAAAAAAAAAAATAAAAAAAAAAAAAAAAAAAAAAAAAAAAAAACATCCATGCTTATCGAGCTTCCAAAGACCTAATATAGTGCTGGGGGGGATACTTGAAGATATCAGAAGTCTCCTGCAACAACACTCTGGTTCTGTTTTCAATTCGTTGGGACAAGCCAATTGCTAGACATGGATTACTTAATGCTTTTTCATGTGTTTGGTGACGTGCAAATTGTTTATTCACGACTCCCTTAATTTGATTCGATGATTTGGGGTTAGGCTCCATGCCCCCTAATGTATTTCTTAAATATTCAATCAAATAATTCCGTGTTTAATTAAAAATAATATAATTGAATTGTTATTCTCTTTGATGATAAAGGAAGTTCTCTTAAATAATAGGTTAAATTGGTTACTGGGTTTTACACAAAATTTCAATTTGGTCACTAGGAAATTTTTTTGCCAAATTGGTCACTATATTATCCAAAGTTTACAATTTATAGACTTGCAGTTAGTTTCCGTTAAGTTGTTGGGTACCTTTTTGTCACTAGATTTTGCACAAAATTTCAATTTGGTCACTAAAAAAAAATTATTAGCCAAAAATCATGTAAATGTGAAACTTTATTTGTTGGTCTTTTGCATTTTTGTGAATTTGGGATTATGATATGAGCTTTTTTTTCAAATGATATGAGCTTTTTTGAAAAGATCATGGAAGCTTTAATTTTAAACTTATTTTTGTCATGATATGATTCCTTTTTTTAGCCTTAATTAATGGGAGCGGATCCGCTTTCCTCAAATTGGTGTCCCCTCCATGTCCCCTCTCTAATTTGCTGAAACATGTCAACTAACATAACAGGAGTTAACTCCATTAACTTTTTTATTTGACAATTTTAAATAACCCAACAGCCAGCGAGCGTCGTCTTCCTTGCTAAACCTAGCGAGCGTCTTCTTCTCCGTGAGAGTCTTCTCCTCTTCTCCAATTGCAGCCAGTGAGCGTTGTCTTCCTTGCAAAACCCAGCCATACCCACTCTCCTCCCTCATAATCTCTGCATCTTGTCCACCATCAACTCTCAAACACTTGCAAAACCCAATTCTCCTCCCTCCTAATATAGAAAGAGATGGTTAATGATTGCACAAATAACACAAACCTCTTCCATGATGGCTTCAAAATGAAAAGTATCCTTGCACATTTTCGATTCCATAGAGTACTTTAACAGTGTGTGATGACTTCCTAGCTGCTTAAAAACCCATTTACCTCTAAATGAGTCAAAGTCCCCTTCAACCTGTTCAAAACTTATCTCCTGTTCAAGCTGTTCACACAAGTCTAGGACAACACGCACATGAAGCACCATATAAAGTAAGCCCTTGCATCCTTCCTGCACATTACAGGAAAAGTAAGTTAACTTGTGTATGACTTTTAGGATGATTGGCACTCTCACATCACTTAAGTTAAGCATATTACAATGACATATCAGAGAGTGCCTATTTATACAGCTAGAGCTATAGATTGTCCTCTTTATTAACTAATAAGATCCACAAAATGTACATTTAGAGATCAGACACATTATCTGATCCCAAAATTAAAAAAGACTTTTTAGAAAAAGTATGGTCTTAGATTACAGTTAATGGAAAGACTGCTAGTACTTGGAAAGTATGAGTATAGTAGTAAGAGAGGTGGTAGTATTCTTCATGTAAAGTGTTGTTTCAAAAGTGAAGCAATTACCAAGAACACTCCAACTCAGCATGCAATTCTCTACGAAAAATAATGTGTGCGGAAACATAATAGGTTTGTTGGTTTTCCAAGGTATTGCAAACATGTTTGAGCTCCCACATTGGAACACTAGAGTTCCTTGGAGGTCTTATAAGACTTACTCATGGAAATAGAATAGTTTGTATTGGCTATGTAAGTAGCCCAATTGAGTGGCTTGTGAATATAATCTTTGGTTCAATGCCTAATTAATTCGGCTAATGGTCAATTAATATATTTAATTAATCAAGAGATGGGCCTTGGGCCTTAGGGCTCTTCAGCTCTGTGATTTAAATTAAAATCGATTAGTTAAATAATTAATTATTTAATTTAAAAAAAGTATAACCTTACTTTTTTATTATTTAAAAATTGTCTTTAATAAATAGTATAGACGATTGGCTATGGTCTTTTACATATACACACACATATATATATATATATATATATATGTATGTACATACTTATTTTTCAATAATACATTCATGTTATATACATGTCTCACGTTTTTAAAAAAGCAAACATACAATAGTCGTATTGTACTTGTACGTACGTATTTGTAATGTTCTATACACGTATTGTTTTCAAAATTTTCAATAAGACGCAAAAAATTCCCGTATTATACAAATAATTCTCACATATTATTGAATAAGAATAACATATGTTATAAAAATTCCAAGAAAATATCATATAGTGGAAGATTAATATCTACTTTGGATATGTTGAAACTAGCAAATTAATATTTATAAGGGACAAACTAATGCAACTAGGAGGGTCCTTTTTAATTTTTTATTTTTGTACTAAAGGGGCGGCTATACAACGAATTTTTTTTTATTAAAAACAGTATAGCCGGGCGGCTATACTATTTGTTGACACGTGGCACATTAGCGAAAAAGGGTCATCCTTTAAAAAAAATATATATTACAGCCGCATGGCTATACTCCGTGTTTTTAATTTTAAAAAAAATTAAAACTATGTTGACAAGTGGCGACAAAAAGCTAGGGTTTCCTAATTTTTTATATTAAAACTAGTATAGCCGCACGGCTATTATCATTTTTGCTCTGTTTTATTCTATAGTAAATAGTATAGCCGGGAGGTTTTATTTTATTTTTTTTTAAAAAAATTATCATTAATAAATAGTATAGACGAGCAGCTATGGTCTTTTACACACACATATATATATATATATATATATATATATATGTACGCACATATGTATTTTTCAATAATACATTCGTGTTCTATACACGTCTCACGTTTTAAAAAAAGCAAACATACAATAATCATATTGTACTTGTACGTATGTATTTGTAATGTTTTATACACGTATTGTGTTCAAAATTTTCAATAAGACGCACAAAATTCGTTTATTATACAAATAATTCTCACATATTCTTGAATAAGAATAGCATATGTTATAAAAATTACATGAAAATATCATATAGTGGAAGATATTACACTTTGGATATGTTGAAACTAGCAAATTAATATTTATAAGGGACAAACTAATGCAACTAGGAGGGTCCTTTTTATTTTTTTATTTTTGTACTAAGGGGAATAGCCCCGTTTAAACACAATGTATTTAAACAGTATAGCCGAAGGGCTATACAAAGAATTTTTTTATTAAAAACAGTATCGCCGGGCGGCTATACTATTTTTTCACACGTGGCGAATTAGGGGAAGGTTTCTCTCTTTTTTTTAAAAAAAAATTTACTACAGCCACACGGCTATACTCCGTGTTTTTAATTTATTTAAAAAATAAAATTGTGGTGACTAAAAGCTGGGGTTTCCTCTTTTTTATGCTAGAAATAGTATAGCTAAGCGGAGATACTATTTTTTGACACGTGGCGCATTAGCGAAAGAAGGTCATCCTTTTTTAAAATAAAAAAATTAGTACAGCCGGACAGCTATACGCCATGTATTTAATTTTTAAAAAAATTAAAAATGTGTTGACACGTGGCGACAAATAGATGGGGTTTCCTCTTTTTTTATATTAAAAATAGTATAGCCGCACGGCTATATACTCATTTTTTTAAAAAAAAATTTTAAGTGCTCTGTTTTATTCTTTAGTAAATCGTATAGACGAGCGGCTATGGTATTTTACATATACACATATATATATGTACGTACGTACTTATTTTTCAATAATACATTCGTGTTCTATACTCCATTTTTGTCTAATTTCTTTTAAAAATAGTATAGCCTGGAGGTTTTACTTTATTTTATTTTAAAAAATTATCATTAATAAATAGTATAGACGAGCCGCTATGGTTTTTTAGATACACACACACACACACACACACACACATATGTATATATATATGTACGTATGTATGTATTTTTCAATAATACATTCGTGTTCTATAGAAGTCTCATGTTTTAAAAAAAGTAAACATACAATAGATTGGTACCACACGAGACCGAACCCGTAGCCTGAGGTACCCATATGCAACGAAGACTTTGAATCGGATACTTATTCTAGGATCTTTCTTCCACTGCCAATAGTACGAAAAAGAGTCTGAGTAATAGCTTCAACAAAGCTCCGTTCCTTCACTGAAGTCTTTGTCTAGAACTAACTAGAAAAGTGAATGCACATATTGTTTTCAAAATTTTCAATAAGACGCACAAAATTCGCGTATTATACAAATAATTCTCACATATTATTGAATAAGAATAACATATGTTATAACTATGAGGGTCCTTTTTTAATTTTTACTTTTTGTATGAAAGGGAATAGCCCCTTTTAAACACAATGAATTTTAAAAGTTTAGCTGGGCAGCTGTACAACGATTTTTTTTATTAAAAATAGTATAGCCGGACGGCCATACTATTTTTGGACACGTGGCGCATCAGCGAAAAGGTTCTCCCTTTTTAAAATAAAAAATAGTAACGCCGCCCGGCTATACTCCATGTTTTTTTAATTTTTAAAAGAAAAAAACTGTGTTGACACGTGGCGACAAATAGCTGGGGTTTCCTCCTTTTTTATATATAAAAAATAGTGTAGCCGCACGGCAGTACTCATTGTTTTAAAATTATTTTTAACTGCTCTGTTTTATTCTTTAGTAAATAGTATAGCCGAACGGCTAAACTCGATTTTTGTCTAATTTCTTTTAAAAATAGTATAGCCAGCAGGTTTTACTTTTTTAAAATAAAAAAAAAATTTGCCTTTAATAAATGGTATAGACGAGCGGCTATGGTCTTTTACATACATACACACACACAAACACACACACACACACACACACACACATATATATACATGTACGTACATATATTTTTTTTTCAATAATACATTCGTGTTCTATACACGTCTCGCGTTTTAAAAAATGTAAACATACAATAGTGGTATTGTACTTGTACGTACGTATTTGTAATGTTTTATAGACGTACTGTTTTCAAAATTTTCAGTAAGATGCACAAAATTCGCGTATTATACAAATAATTCGCACATATTATGAATTAGAATAACATACGTTATAAAAATTACATGAAAATATCATATAGTGGAAGATTAATATCTACTTTCAATATGTTGAAACTAGCAAATTAATATTTATAAGGGACAAACTAATGCAACTAGGAGGGTTCTTTTTAATTTTTTTTCTTTTGTACTAATGGGAATAGCCCCTTTTAAACACAATGTATTTAAAATGTATAGCCAGGCGGCAATGTACTAATTTTCTTTATTAAAAACAGTATAGCCGGGCGGCTATACTATTTTTGACACGTGGCGCATTAGCGAAAGAGGGCCATCCTTTTTTTAAATAAAATAGTACAGCCGCATAGCGATACTCCGTGTTTTTCATTTAAAAAATAAATAAAACTGTGTTGACATGTGTTGGCATGGCTATACTCATGTTTTTAAAATTCTTTTAACTGCTCTATTTTATTCTTTAGTAACTAGTATAGCCGGGCGGCTATACTCGATTTTTGTCTAATTCTTTTCAAAATAGTATAGCCGAGAGGGTTTAATTTTTTTTATAAAAAAAATTGTCTTTAATAATGGTATAGACAAGCGGTTATGGTCGTTTACACACACACACACACACACACACACACACATATATATGTACATACCTATGTATTTTCAATAATACATTTGTGTTCTATACATGTCTCACATTTTTTAAAAATCAAACATACAATAGTCGTATTGTACTTGTATGTACGTATTTGTAATGTTTATACACGTATTGTTTTCAAAATTTTCAGTAAGACGCACAAAATTCGCGTATTATACAAATAATTCTCACATATTATTGAATAAGAATAATATATGTTATAAAAGTTACATGAAAATATCATATAGTGGAAGATTAATATCTACTTTGGATACGTTGAAATAGCAAATTAATATTTATAAGGGACAAACTAATGCAACTAGGAGGGTCCTTTTTTAATTTTTATTTTTGTACTAAAGGGAATAGCCCCGTCTAAACACAATGTATTTAAAAAGCATAGCCGGGTGGTTATACAACGACTTTTTTTTATTAAAAACAGTATAGCGGGCTGCTATACTATTTTTGGACACGTGGCGCATTAGCGAAAGAAGGTCATCCTTTTGTAGAAAAAAAATAGAATAGCTGCACGGCGATACTCCGTTTTTTTTAAAAAAAAAAAAAAAAAAAAAAGTGTGTTGACAGTGGTGACAAAAAGCTGGGGTTTCCTCTTTTTATATATTAAAACTAGTATAGCCGCACGGCTATTCACGTTTAAAAAAAATTCTTTTTAAACCGCTCTATTTTATTCTTTAGTAAATAGTATAGCCGTGCGGCTATACGTGATTTTTGTCTAATTTCTTTTTAAAATAGTATAGCCGGTAGGTTTTATTTTATTATTTTTAAAAAGATTATCATTAATAAATAGTATAGACGAGTAACTATGGTCTTTTACACACACACAGACACACACATATATATATATATATGTACGTACGTACGTATTTTCAATAATACATTCGTGTTCTATACACGTCTCATGTTTTTTAAAAATCAAACATACAATAGTCGTATTGTACTTGTACGTAGTATTTTTAATGTTTTATACAGTATTGTTTTCAAAATTTTCAGTAAGACGCATAAAATTCGTGTATTATACAAATAATTCTCACATATTATTGAATAAGAATAACATATGTTATAAAAATGACATGAAAATATCATATAGTGGAAGATTAATATCTACTTTGGATATGTTGAAACTAGCAAATTAATATTTATAAGGGACAAACTAATGCAACTAGGAGGGTCCTTTGGGTATGAAAAGGGGAATAGCCCTTTTTAAACACAATGTATTAAAAAGTATAGCCACGCCGCTATACAACGAATTTTTTATTAAGAACAGTATAGCCAGGCACATTAGCGGCAGAGGTCATCCTTTTAAAAAAAATAGTACAGTCGCACAGCTCTACTTTGTGTTTTAATTTATTTAAAAAATAAAATGTGTGTGAAATGTGGCGACAAATAGCTGGGGGTTTCCTCTTTTTTATATTAAAAATAGTATTGCCGCACGGCTATACTCATTTTAAAAAAATTCTTTTTAACTGCTTTGTTTTATTCTTTATTAAATGGTATCGTCGTGCGGCTATACTCAATTTTTGTCTAATTTCTTTTAAAAATAGTATTGCCGGGAGGTTTTACTGTTTTTTTTTCAATATAAAAAAATCGTCTTTAATAAATAGTATAGCAAAGGAAGACAACGTTCACTGGGTTTTAAAATTGTCAAAGTAAAAATTTAACGGAATTAACTCCCTGTTCTGTTAGTTGACACGTGTCAGCAAATTAGAGAGGGGACACTAATTTGGGGACAGCGGATCCGCTCCCTTAATTTATACTACACCAACCATAAATTTTTAGCCTACAATCAATGTGTGGAAGAGCTTCGCATTTGCTTCGATTTTAGCTATAAAAAATTATCAATGATCAAATTGAAATATTGTGTAAAACACAGTGAACGAAAAGGTATATTGAATCCAAAAACTTAACAGTAAGTCTATAAATTGTAGACTTTGGTTAATACAGTGACCAATTTGGCTAATGTTTTTTTTATTGACCAAATTGAAATTACATGTAAAACTCAGTGACCAAAAGAGTATTTAACCCTAAATAATAATAATATAAAAGTAGACCTCTTTATAGCTACTAAGAATTTTATTACAATTTTTTGTTGTTGACAAAGCGATATTCTAAATTACTCTAATATACAGGGAAGGAGACCGAACTAGGGTTGCAAAGGGACATAAAATAGTACAACATTCAAAGCGATTTCAACTGACTTAAATTAACACAATGGAAACATGGGAATACAACTCATACTTAGATAATAAAACGATTTTTCTAGAAAGAAAATAGTGCACACATTGACTGATGACTCAACTCAATGACCCAATTTTCAGGATTATTTAAGTATTTCCTCTTTGCCCATTTTCGTTATAGAAGTGTTTTCAATAATAATAATAATAAAACTTCACATGTCCTGCTTTCAAAATTGAATACACCCCCATCTAGCACGTTTCATATTTGTACTTTGGAAAAAGTTTTTCCGTACATTTCTTAAAAACTAGATAAAAGTTTAAAGCAAATATATATTCTCAATCACAAGTTAATGTATGAATTCTTCACAAATTAATACATGTTTTTGTCCCAATATTTTGCCAGGATACACGTATTATTTGCATATTATTATCGTATTTTTACAAAAAAAAAAATTGTTTTTGTGCATCTATAAAGATCCAGGATCACAAAATAATAAAATTTGTATATTTTAGAATTTTCCTTATTACCAACATTGAAATAATATTTATATATAAATGGGCAAGATTTTCAAACATATGTGTAAAAAAAAATTCCGTAGAGTAAACCATGCATATTTTATACGTTATATGTTGGTTGGTATGCACCGAGCAATTCGTGACTGAACGTTGTGCGAAAGTGATCATCTTGACCTTATCGAGTCGGCTTCGAGGTCTTAGTGGCTTCTTGCTCCTTCTTCGGTAGTAAGGGGTTCGTTCCTCGATTATAGCCAAATTTACTTGGTTCAGATATCAACATTTTTTTAACTAACAAACTATGTTTGATAAATTTTGAACAAGAAGCTTGTGTATTTTTTTGTTAAAAGAAAAAAAAAGGTCAAGTTAGCCATTGCTGTGCTGTGAAATATCCCTGGTCAATTACTGTGAGAGAAAAGCAATTGGCGTTTGGGTAAACTTTTTGTTTAAAGTGTGTTTTGGTACTAATTCCGATATAATCAAAAAAATGATTTCCTCATATCTTAAACTTAGCGCCTATTGTTAATTTAGGCATAATCAGAAAATGAAAGTACCTCATTAGCTGCTTTCCTTTATAGCTTTCTCTCACATCAATTTTTAACAATAAGCTATTTTCTTATAGATTTACCAAATAGGGCTTCCCACAATTAAAAAAAATCACTTATCACCTCAAATAAGTAATGCCAACAGGTAATTAATGAGACTTAAGAAGCAAAAAATTAGCATTAAATTTTGAAAAGGTTTTCTCTTCAAATCTCTGACTTGGCGGCAAATTAGGGAAAAGAGGAGAGAAGAAGAGCATGTCCGGTGTGCCTAGCAAGTTGACCATTTGACTTGAAGAAACCGCGCTTTAAAACCGTCTCAAAACGCGTCATAAGATCTCGCAACTGTCAGAAAATTGGTATTGCTTGCTTCAGCGCCCATTATTACATGCCCAAATCATGTTCGAAATTTGAAATTTGAATAGCGCTGATCTTTAGTCGAATATATATTTGATTTCCAAACCTCTCTCTTTTCACATTTGCAAGTTCCTCATTCCTCTCTCTCACTTGTCTTCGTTCTCTTTCTCTGTGAAAGGAAACCCAGTTGCGTTGAGTTCACTACGAATTCACAAATCAGCGAAACCCAAATCCACCACCCACTCTCTCATTCCTGATCGATCGATTTTCAATTGATCGCCTTTACTTTCCTCATTTATTATATTCTGTTCTGCAGTTGTTTCTGAGATTTGAGAGAGTTGTGTTCTCTGTACTGGTTCTGGAACTGAAGAGGGAAAATGAAGGTGATTTTCAGTTTGGGTCGAATTCAATTCTTTGGTCTTTCTCTCTGAGGTTGCAGTTGTTGTCAAAATTGGGAGGAAGAAGATGTTAGAGAAGGCCATGTCCAGGGCTGTGAGAAGCCGCTGCAAACCCACTTCGGGGATTTGGGTTTGATGGGTATGTGGTTCCTGACAAGGCCACGATCAGGATAACGAATAGGGTTAGGGTTTCATATCACATCATCATCATCATCATTCATCTGCCTTGTATATGTTGCTTCAACGTTACAAGCAATGAATGATGGTGTTGAAAAAAGCCAACACCTTCGGTGGCATAAGCATACCGAAGAAGAAAAGAACAAGTCTGAGGAGGGGGAGGACCATGCTAACTTCCTTTCCATGTTCTTTTCATGATTCCATCCCACTCCATCAGATACCAAGGAAGAAAAGGTCCAATCTGAGGAGGACTAAAAGGGCTTTCTTGCCAGATTTTTCTCATGATTCCACCGTCCAAGTTATAAAAAAGGCTATGCAAGAATTAGAAAGGGTTTTGGCAGAGAAGGGTACTGTTGACTTCACACTCTTCCCACACAACGACATTTGCATACCCAAGAAGAAAGCTGCCGAAGTGAATGCAATGAAGCTCTGCTCATTCCGGCTTAACTCCCCTTCCTGTTCAAGTACTTCTTGCATCAGCCAGGACTGTTAGTGCACTGCATACAATAAGGAGTAAGGTCTTTTAGTTTTGTTATAGAGATTCTTGGGGTTTCTTGCTTCTGAAACCAAGTCATTAATTGATTACATGTAAAGCATTATATGTAGTTGATTGAATTTAATTGTTCTGTTTTTCTTATAAAGGATTGAATTGTATGTTGTTTATCTCTCAATGGAATGAATCTTCAATGGGGTTCTGTGCATACTAAAATTGAGGCAAGTTTTTCTCTTTTGCTTACTCTTCGCTGCTATCTGTCTGCCTGTCCATTTTACTCATTAATTAATGCGTCATATTTGGAATTTTAGCATACGTTTAATTTCTAAATTATTTATCATTGGAGGAGCTATCTTCCTTATTAATTTTTACCAATCTTTGTGGTGGTACCTTTTGTCCATGTTGTATTGTGTCCCACATGGCTTTCTGTTTTTTTGGGTCAAGTAAAAACAGCTAAGCAATGCAAAAATCTCTATTTTGGTTAAACTGGGGTATAATTTTGGACAAACATGATACAATATTCATGAAGGATTCAACTTTTGAGTCTTGGATCATCTAGTTTAGTACTTCAGCTAGATTGGATGATTTGTTTGGTGATTCTGTAGCGGGATTATAGTTTGAAAGAGGAACTATAGAGGCTATGAGCAAGAAAGTCAGTTGGGCAGTAATAGCATATTTTTTAAACTTTAGTCAATTTGCCAATGTAATAATTTGTAAACAGCATATCGTTCTGGATATGCTCTGTTTACAATCAATCAAAACATCCAACACCTTCGAGGATGCAGTTCTTCTACTGTTCAGTATCAGTACAAGTGTTGACTTTATCCTTCAACCTCTGTAAAACTTAGACTATTTCTGAGATCTTTGTTACAGTGCATTAGTTCTCTTTCCATCGACGAGCTGTCCCTTTATATGGATTAGGCTCAGAAAATCGTCAATTTAAGGCTCATCACGAGTATGAATAGTGCGGAAAGTTGTGAATATACATTCCCCACTCTCGGAATTGGTAACATTAGCCCATTACTGTATAGAAGAACTGCCCCCCCACAAGAAAATTTGTATAATTTAGGCTCTCGAATGCGATTGGTGAATTTCAACTCTGCAACCTCTTTTCACCAACACAATCCTTCTACCTTTCCGTGATTATTACTTGAAAGCATACTGGGATAATGTGGTCATATCTGAAAGTGCAGCCTTGGCCTTTGTAAATCTGAGCAATTCTCTCTGTGGTTCTGATTTCTACTTCCTTTCTGAGCAATGAGGGAAGAAAAACAAAGGAGAAACCGTTCACTGCCCTTGTGAAGAGTGCGTTGTCAGAAAATGCAAATGAGAATTAAGCACCAGGGGAGAGCATTGCATAAACTATGAGGTAAGATTCTTTAAACAACTCCAAAACTAATCTCGAAATTCAAAATTATGCAGTTTGAAGATAGATAATTTTTTAGCTCACAATCAGACATATCACACTGGACCTCTAGTTGAATTCTATATGCTGCCAATAGTGACAAGCCTAAGCTTCATGAGTCTATTTGGAGAGCAATGAACAACATAGTAATGAGGATGAAACGTCTATTGGTGTAGTGCATAGCATATTTCTTGACCTTTTGACAATTTGATTTCTAAAGCATCATATCCTACTCTCTCTCTCTCTCTCTCTCCCTCTTTATTTATTTTTCTCCCCAACCTTCTCAGTTTCATCTCACTTTTTGAGGCTATCAAATATCAGTTATGTTGCATGGGTGCAACATTTCTGTGCATATACTATGTTCGCTGCATTGAAAGTCTTGTTACCTGATTGTTCTTGTTGTTAGGTCTCTCTTTATCCCCCTCCCCCTTTCCTCTTTTCCTGATCTTCTCGCTTTAATCTCAGTTTTTTAGGCTTTCGGGTATCGGTTGTGTGCTTGGTGCAGGATTTCTGTACATGTACTATGCTCACCATACAAGGGAAGTTTCTCTAGAACTTAATATTGATCTATATTTTGCCATGAAATGCAAATCTTATGCATCCAAATCTTTCAAGGTGGCTAAGCATTTTAAATGTCTTGGATGGTCTCCCAGGTTTACGTTGTTTTTCAGCTGATCATATGAATTATCTTGATTGACGGTTATGTATGGACAACTTGTCTGTCTTTCCTTGTATGTTTATTAAACTTTAAGCTCTCTTGTATGAAAAAAGAGGTCGGTGTATTCTTACTCTTGTTAGGTGATATCATTTTGGTTGGGATTTCATCTCAAAAGTAAATTTATAATTGAAATTATTTCTTTTGAAAGGTTATATTCGACACATGATTGTTATTTTTTGGAACTCCGAACAATGTTGTTTGAAAGATTTTGCAGGGATTTCAACTCAAAGTAACCTTGTTTTTTTGTTTTTTGTTTTTTTTTGCTAAACAAAGAAAAAATTCAATTTGTTGCAAACCCTGTTTCTATGTTTTTATGCTAAACACACAATGTTTTTAAGTTCCTACTGGACTTTCAACAATTTTCAATCAAGAACACACAACAAAACACCCGCGGCCCGTGTGACAAAAAATCTTTGACCTTTCTACTATTTGGAGAAAAAAAAAAAAAAATAAAAAAAAAAAAAAAAAAAAAAAAAAAAAAAAAAAAAAAAAAAAAAAAAAAAAAAACTCCCCTAACTCTTCAACCCTTAGCTATGAAAATAAACATATGTTAATTTGGGTGCCCAAATAAAACAAGCATATGTTAATTGTCACGCATTCCTTATCCTAAATTGGTTCCAATGCGCCCATCCTCAGGTCATGAAGTTATTTTACTTGTCATGCCTTCACGATGAGCATGTTCTACATTCAAATAAGTGTGAATCACATTTATGAACTATCAACTCAAATATAAACATGAGTCTCTAGTTCATAAAGACTTGGCGTGTAGTAAACACTGGTACCTAAAAGACAAACAAAAGGATGTTTCTTTTATTTCAACAAGGTTTGCGGAATGGCTCTTTTGATTTGAATTGATTACATGAGATATGGGAGGAAATTAATTAAGTAATACCAACAAGGTTTGTGTATAGAAACTGTTATCTAATCCTACTATCTACAAACTGTTATCAAATGCTATTGTCCACAACAGCTTCTACGTGCTATTGTCCACAACCGTTATCTAATGCACATATTGCCCGTTTAGAGGCCAATGTGATATGTGCCGTATAACAATGAGTTTTGTAAAAACTCACCCATCGTATAAATGTACAATTTGAAAACTATTAAACCGTTGGGGTCATATCTAATACTGATCATGGAAAAACACATATGCTATGAATAATTTTTTTTATTATAAATCTTATCCTGCTCCTCAAACTTCTTCAGCATCATTCTGCACTTTCTATTTGGGTAAGAATAAGAAGACACTCGTGCCGTAGGGGATAACATGTTGGTTTTTGCAAGGCATTGCAAATATGTTTGAGTGAAGGTCTTTATAGATTTACTCTTAGAAATAGAATAGTTTGGATTAGGCTATGCAAGTGGCTCAATTGAGTGACTTGTGGGTTGGCCTTTGGGTCAATGCTTAATCAGTTGGGTTAATGGTTAATTTATATATATATATATATATAAATAATATATATTTAATTGGGGCTCTGTAATTTAAATTAAACCCGATTAATTAAATTAATTGAGAGTTGATTAATTAATTAATTAATTAATTGAATTATTTTTAAAATTTAAAAATCAAATAAGTTTGTCTGATTGGGTTTTACCGTCAACAAGTATCAGCCCTCTATATAAACAGGAGCCTTGGTTCCGTTGAAACACATAAAAAAAATGTAGATATCATTCAAAGTCATCATTCATGTTTATAGCCTGAGAGAAACACACTAATTTCGCCAGAAATCAAAGCCCTAGTGCTAGAGTAGACGCCTGCAGAACTATAAGCACTAAGTAGGGATGAAATTTTGTTTCAAGGACATTGCAAACTGCAAACCTCAATCTAAAAAATCAGTCAGATTTTATTTTACTACATTGTTTAATTCCGTGATTGTATTTATTGTTTAATTTAATTGTTAAATTAAGTTATTAGTGTAATACTGATTGTTGTTCATCCAACAATCTTGAAACAGAAATGGATCAACAATAGTGTCTGTTAATGGAGTCAATGGGTATGGGGCTAAGAATCCTCACTCTGAAAAGTCGTAGAAGTTCAAAGGAGTGGACTTCAAACGATGGCAACAAAAAATGTTGTTTTATTTAACAACAATGAACTTGGCAAATGTTATCAAAGAAGAAGTTTCAGTTGCAAAAGAGGATCCTATTCCAAAGAAATCTCTAAGTGCCACAAATGCTTGGAAGTATTCTGAATTTTGTTGCATGAACTATATATTAAACAGTCTGGATGATAATCTTTATGACATTTATCCAGCCTGTAAAATAACCAAGGAATTATTGGAATCACTAGAGAAAAAAAATATAATCAAAGATGCTGGTTCTAAGAAGTTTGTCATTGGCAAATTTCTGAAATTCAGTATGGTAGATTCCAGGTCTATCATCACACAAGTTGAAGAACTCCAGAAGTTAATCTATGAACTTCATGCAGAAGAATGTTCAATTAATGAACATTTTCAAGTTGGTGCAACGATTGAGAAATTATTATTGTCTTGGAATGATTTTAAGATATACCTCAAGCATAAGCGCAGAGAGATGAATATGAAAGATCTCATTCTCAAGCTACGAGTGGAAGAGGATCATAGGAATGGTGACAAAAATGATGTGTCTACCTTAGAAGCCAATGCCAATATCGTTGAGGGAAAAGCCTTCAAACCAAAGGGTCAATCCAAGAAGAATAAGGGCAAGAATTTTAACAAGCAAGATGCTGCCCTTGCACTAAAGGCAAAGGATTTCAAGAAGATTAAGGGCTTTTGCTGGGTTTGTGGAAAACTAGGCCATAAATCACAAGAATGCTGCCACCGAATGGACCATAATCCTACCAATAAAGGCAACAATCATAGGCCAAACAACTAGGCCAATGTGACTGAGGATTTTGTTGCTGTTGTTTCAGAAACCAATATGGTTTCGAATGACAAAGATTGGTGGATTGATACAGGTGCTACCAAGCATATTTATGGTGACATAAATATGTTTTCTGATTACCATCAGATTTCTGGTGGAGAAAAGCCGTATATGGGCAATGTCTTTGCTTCTGTAATTCAAGGAAAAGGCAAAGTGGTGCTAAAATTCACTTCTGGAAACCCTGCAGAATGTGCTGCATGTTCCATAAATTAGGAAAAATCTTGTGTCATGCCCATTGTTGAGTAACATGGACTTTAAACTTGTACTTGAGTTTGACAAGTTTGTCCTAACTAAGGGGGGAACGTTTGCAGGAAAAGGCTACTTGGCTGATGATCTTTTCCAACTCAATGTATTAGCTTTTGATGCTATTACTGAAATAAATAAGGCTTCTATTTATATTGTTGAGTCATCTAATTTATGACATGCTAGATTAGGACATGTTAATTTTCATTCTTTACATAGAATTAGGACTATTCTAAAGTTTAATATTGATTTCAATAATTAGTGCCAAACATTTACATAATCCAAATTTGCTAGACAAACTTTGAAGTCAGTTTTGGGAAGATCAAATGAATTACTTGGTCTAATTCATAGTGATCTTTGTGACTTTAAGTCTACACCAACTCGTGGAGGGAAGAATTATTAAATCCTTCATTGATGATTGCAGTAAGTTTGCTATGTTTACTTGATTCATAGCAAAGATGAGGCTGTGAATATGTTTAAGACATATATGGCTGAAGTAGAGAATCAACTTGAGAGAAAAATCAAGGTACTTAGATCAAATAGAGGTGGGGAGTATGAATCTCAAGCCTTCTCTGACTTTCGTACTACACATGGAATTGTAAATCAAACAATAGCTCCTTACACACCATAACAAAATGGTGTTGCAAAAAGGAAAAATAAAACTTTTAAAGATAGGATTAATTCCATGTTAAATAGCTCAAGGCTTCCACACAACATGTGGAGTGAAGCATTACTTATTGCAAATAGAGTTTTAAATAAAATCTCACATAAGAAGACTAATAAGTCTCCTTATGAAATATGGAAAGAAAGAATACCCACTTATAAGACACTGAAAGTATGGGGTTGTCTAGCAAAAGTACAAGTTCCTTTATCAAAGCTAACTAAACTTGGACCAAAAACTATTGATTGTGTATTCATTGGATACGCGAACAATAGTGCTGCTTATAGATTTGTAGTAATGAAATATGAAATTCCGGACATACATGTTAACACTATTATTGAATCAGTTAATTCAGAATTCTTTCAGGAAATATATCTTTACGAAGAAAATAAATCTGGTTCAACTATAAAGCGGTCACATGATCAAAGTCATGATGAAGTCTCTTCCTCAATAGTTCAAGAAATAGATTCTGAACCAAAAAGAGGAACAAGAACAAAAGTATCAAAGAACTTTGGGCCATATTTTCTTACTTTCTTGTCTGAAAGTGAACCACAAACTTATCATGAAGCCATAACTTCACTTGAGGCTCCTTTTTGGAAGGAAGCAATAAAAAGTGAAGTAGAGTCCATTATGCAACATAATACATGGGAATTAGTTGATTTACCTCCTGGTAATAAACCATTGGAAGCAAATGGATTTTAAAAAAAAAAGCTAAAAGCTGATGGCACCATTGACAAGAATAAGGCACGTTTAGTTGCTAAGGGATACCGCCAAAAAGAGGGGTTGGATTATTTCGACACTTATTCTCCAGTTTCACATATTACATCTATTAGGATGCTAATAGCAATTGCAGTTGTTTACAATTTGGATATACACCAAATGGATGTAAAAACTGATTTTCTGAATGGAGAATTATATGAAGAAATATACATATAACAATATGAGGGGTTTGTGATTCTAGGATAAGAAAAGAAGATGTGTAAGCTTTGGAAGTCATTATATGGACTTAAACAAGCACCAAAACAAGGTGTGTAATATCCATTGATTATGTAAAGTCAAAGGAAAATATAGTAGATCCTTTGACAAAAGGCCTACCAAGAGATCAAACACTGTATGCATCAAGGGGAATGGGAGTCAAGCCAATTCAATGAATCAAACCAGGCAGAAACCTAACCTAGTTGATTGGAGATCCCATGGTCTAGGTTCAATAGGTAAACTAGTTGGGGATGATTCAAAGTGTTGAACACACATAATGCCCATTTCTATGATACGTGTGTGTTGTCTGTTGATGATTGAGGGTATACTTATGCATTTAATGACATTAATATCTTGTTATCAATAGGAATATGACAAACTATTCTCACTTAATGTCACCTATGTAGGAGTAAATGTGGGTCGCATTTTTGAGAGTTAATATGGCTAAAACTCTCTAAAGCTCCTAGGAAAACTGGGATTTGTTCAAGACCAAAATGAACACAAACGTATGAATTGATGTGTGTCAGATTTGATACATGTGAAATGTATTGTCTCGGTTTACTAATAGGGGTGAATAGTTCAAGTTCATTATATCCACTGCGTCACCAAGTAGACTCGATATATTTTCACTAAGGTAAGTTCAAGTCCAAAAGACACTTCTCCCTGATGCATATCATTTCTACTATCTATGTGGTGATCTAGGCATCATTTGCATTTAAATTTCCATTCAAATGTGGGGTATGTTAGGTGTTTGAATACAAATTTTAACTCAAATGTGGGGTATTGTTGGTTTTTGCAAGGCATTGCAAACATGTTTGAGTTGAAATTAGTCTCATGTTGGAAAACTAGAGTTCCTTAAAGGTCTTTAGTCAAAATCAACCAGTACTTACGTAGAATATTGATTCATAGTTGGTTTCCTGTTGATTCATTACCATGATCGTATACTTTCGACAATTGTTCTATTCCCTCAATGGCAAACCCAAAATCTTTATGCTACCACAGCATTGAAATAGTCATCCCCACTAGTGAAACATAGAGTGCTGCATTACCAATCACAATGTTTACTTTTGAATCGAACTTGCTTGGTCGATAATCTACAATCGTCCATTTTGAATATCATTTACCCAAACTCAAGCCTGATGTCATGGCAGAGGAATGCTGGTATGCTCGGTCTTTCACTTCCACAGAATTTGATATACAAGTTGTCAACAGGAAACACAGACCTATTTTTGCATTTGGTCAGCCCAAGCATTGTCCCAACAGTATGATTACATTGCAAATTGGTGCTTTAAAATATACAGGAAGTGCCTTTTCTTATAGCAACTCTGGAAAGAGAAATTAGTTTGTAGTCAAGACTTATATCAAAAACCCGTGTGCTATAAGTTTGACTACGAGCTAGTTGTTGCACCAATTAACCCGTGAATACAATTAGAGTATTGTTAAACGAATCTTAAAATTAATTGAATATACCCTATTACCAAACTATTTATTGAATTTCTAATTTACCCTAATATAAAATGACCAAAATGGATATATTGAATTGTGAAACAAATGTAATTTTAATAATACAAATTTATAAATAAACCCAATCCTATACATGTATTTATAAAAAAACTCAAGCACTATTTAAACATAGAAACACACCCAAAATCAACCTCAAAATCAACAATTGTATATTTTTTGGGTGTGTTTATAAATGAGTTTTGAGTGTGTGTAATGATGGGTTTTGGGTGTATTTATAAAGTGTTTTGGGTGTTGGGTTTTTTTATAATTTCAGCCCCCATTATTGGGTGTTTTCACTCTACTCATCGAGAAATTTTTATATGTTCCGACTCATCATATTCAACCCTAAATTGAATTGTAAAACCAAAAAGGTTTGTAACTTTCATGACAGAGTTGCTCATCATCTTCCTTGGCTTCGCCGCATCTGTAAAAAAACTGACCTTCCCATCAAATTCCAAGACCCAGCCACCGCAAAACAGTACTATTCATATGACCTACTTGTGGCCCTAGACCAATTGAGTACAAGTATTAACATGTAGGATTTCGTTTGGTTTGCTATATATGCGTGGGTAGTGTTCTGGAAAAAACTCAATACTTAAAGGACATCTGAGTAAGAGCATCGATAATTCTTGGTTGCATAATTCAAGAACATGGTTAGGCTGATGTTCGTACTAGGGTTCAAACTAGTATACTTGATGCTTTCATGCATTCCCGATTTGAAATTGAATGCCTCTGCGTTCTGTTTAATAGCAGATAAAGGAAAGTTGTATATGTGGGTAAACACCAAAGATTCTCAATTATAGGAGTTCCTGGGCTTCCAGAGATACAACACGACCGGTTAGGGTGTACAAGGGGTATTTTGGTAGTTAAATAGGGTGTACTTAGTTAATTATATATTTTTAATTTAAATATTATAGTATACTTAGATCATACGGTACTCAGTTAATTTTAGGCTTCTTTAACAACACTCATACAATTAACATGTGTTTTTCATCGTATATGGCTTTGGGGCCCACTTTGTCAAAATTAGGGTTTAGGAAGTGCAATCATCTTATTCTTTCCTCTTTTTTTAGATAAATATAAAATAAAATAAAAATAGATTAGTGCAGATAAAAATGGAAGAAAACCAATCTTTATTAGTACGTATGTATGTGTATGCACAACAGCACAAAAATACAAATATTATTTTTCATATTTTAACCAAACGTTTGTTTATTCATACAGGACAAATTAAAGAAGGTATGAAACAGAGCACACATTAGGGTTCATAATTTTTCCCAAATATTATATGATATGAATCATTTCCCCCGATCACCATCTGAGCTTTTCTGGGAAGTACTTGTCAATAAGAGATAAATAGTAAGGCTTTACTTTCTCAACATCAATACGAACTTTGCTCTTGCTATAGAGGTCATATTTGTTGAATATTTGAAGCCACTTCAAATTCTCTTCATCCTCCTTGTTCATTAGGTGTTCATATGCCCCAGATTTGTGCAGAGGATAAAAAGAGTGATACCTAATGATGAACAATCCAGCCTGAGGCAAAGTGCTTCCATTTTCCTTGGCCACCAAGTACATGTAGTCATCATGACCCCATGACATCATCACATTTTCAAGTCCACATCCATGGGAGTAAATTCCGTACTTAGAATTATATGAAGGGTTGTTGTGGTCTGGATTTTCCTTGAAGTACTTGTGGTGAACAATGGCCTCATCAAAAGCACACCCAAGAGGATGCGTGTCTCCAACCACAGCCCATTGAGGAAGCCCTCCAAACTTAGGAAGCAGAAGCACTTTTCCAAGGTCATGAATAAGAGCAGTCAAGTGCAGCCAATCTTCATTGGGATAGTCTTTTCTAACTGCTTCTGCTGTTTGCAACAAGTGCTCAATTTGTGGTTCGTCCAAATCAGGGTCACTGTCATCCACAACTTCATTCAGGAGCTCACAACATTCCCATATGCTCATTTCCACTCTATTCAACTTGCTATACTCCTCTCTCATCTTCTTCACAAAATCGTACGTTTGGTTAATGTGGTTCAGCCGGTAGAATTCCTCCACGCTTTTCTGCCTTTCACTTTCTGCATTATAGTCCCTGCAATCAATTCATTTTCATACCATGCATGCCGCACTTTAGTTCATATTGTTCACTGAAAGAAACAAACACATCTAGCCAGCTCGAATTTGTTCACCAAATAATGTGTCTCATTATTTGAACATTTGAACGAATGAAATAACAGTCGCATCATTTGGTTGATAAATTTAGTGTACAAATTTCTCGAGTGTACGTAATATAGTGGTTACATAAAAATGTGAACAAAAGCATAATAACGCAAACCTGAATGACTGCCCAAATGAATTAATTTCCGGGGCAATGAACGCGTCGCTTGCTGGTGTCACAGCCATTCGTACGAAATCACCGGGTACTTCTATATGACTCAAAATGAAACGAATTGAAAAAGAAGCAGAGAAGAAATTAAGTTGGTGCCCATCAATGGTAAAACATGTTGGGTTTTTATAGTCCCATAAAAAAAGTCCTTGTGTGGATAATTATAAGAGCATTAGAGTCCTTAACTGAAAATATTATCTGTCTTAAACCATTTTATCCGACTAATCCGAATGAAACGCTCAAATACAAGGGAAGCAATTGATAAGGCTGCCCATATTTGGAAATTTTAGCCTCTCGATATGGCTTGAAATAAAATTCTTCCAACTGAAGAACTATGTTTTTTACTATTTTTCACTGACGATTGGTACCAACGGCTTATTTGTCACCCTCTAAATTGAACAGCCTTCCATAACCATTAAAATTGTCAATGCAGTTTAACATTAATCTCTCTAATGTTGTTTTTTTTCTGTTACTTCTACGGTTTGTTTATTTTAGTGTTTCTTATCAATGAGAGAGGAGACATATTCGAATTTGAGACGTCTTATAACATGTTATGTGCACAGGACGCTCTTTAAGCGAAGTGTTATATATACTCAAGTGCTATAACAAGAATATAAATTATCAATTTGATGAGTTCTTTACCGCACTGGAAATCCACATGTAGACCGTATAATTAAAACCAGCCACCCAAATAATGTTGCATATTGCTAATGAGATTTAGTCTAATGAAAAATGGTATTGATTTGTAGATCAGTAATTTCAAGTTCAAACCCCTATTGCACATTGTAAGCGTGTGTGAGAAAATCCTCCTCTCCGCTCCTAACTATGACAACAACAACAACAACAACAACAATAATAATAATAATAATGTTGCATTTTTACACTTCAATAATATAATCCTGAAAGCTGCAATTTTTATTATAGTTGCAACAACAATATTGATGCCTACACTAGAAGGTCAAACCGTATATGTTGTAGGAGACGAGTTTGGTTGGAATATAACTAAAAATCATTGCAGATCCTCGGAATTTTACAGTCGTTGGGCTTCACATTATAATTTTTTTGTTGGAGACATACTAGGTAAACTTCACTCTTTAGCTATATATTATGCAACAACAACAAAATTGGTTGAAGCAATGACTAAAAAAAAGGGAAACTTATAAATAAACTCAAAATGGGTGAAGTATTTATAAAGAAGGATAATATTAAAGTGTTTGGACAATAATGCCTTTTTTCATTTTGGATTGCCTAAGAAATCCTTTTTTTCTTTTCAGATGATGCCAAAGGATTGTTGCTTGATGCTTGACGTATGGAGTTAAAAATTTGCTTTGATAGTTTTTGGATTGATGTTGCATCTGCTACCATGTTGCTGGGATGATCTCTTCACGTAAAAATGAGGTTGATGATGTTTGGCTTCACATGGTCTTCTTGTGTTTGCTGCTATGGTTTTATCATGCTTCCATCATCTTGTCTATATTGTGTAGCTCTTCTTCTCCTAAGCTATTTCAGTATGAGTTGTCATTGTCTTCTGGTTCAATCTGTGCTGCTATTTGGCTATAGATTTCATCAAAAAAATTTGCTCATGTTGTGCTTATCCTGAATTTATATGTCATCTGGTCTCCTGGATGTAGACTCTAAATAAATCTTGACAAAGTTGGATTGGTGAAAGAGGGTCAGACAATCATCATTGAACTTATTGCTCGTCTATATTTTTGAATGTCCTGCTTGGTAGGGATCCTTGTCTTTACTGATTCTGCTAGACTAAGTAGTTCATTATAAGAAATAATAATATTATGTTGTGCTTTATCTGGGTAAATACTATCCTCAAACCATTATGGGGGTATGTTGGTGAAATCTAATTTTATGCTCTTCCAAAGAGGAATATAGAAACTTATGACTTCTTTTAATTTTGAGGAAAATGAATCTAAATGATCACTATTTTCAATATAAAGTTAACCTAAATAACCATATTCTGCTAAAAATGCTAGAGTAACTGTGATAGTTTTTTGTTGATGCTCTAAATGCAGTTCTATATATTCAACCATATTAATACTAGCTAAGTAAATAGTATAATGAGAACAGCTTTTGGTAATAATTTTTATACCAGGATGTGTATTATTTTTTAAATTGAAAAGAAAAGCTTGAATGTATAGTTGAAGAGATGTATTTTGCTCATACTCTAATCTAATCATATGACTCTTAACATCATGTGGTAAAAATCTATATCTTTCTCTAGCTAGAGTTTGAAGAAAATATGAATTTTTAGTTTTTTGCTCAAGGGAAAATTATCTATTACGCTCAAGTAAGTTGGGCTCATTAGCCTCTTTTTCTTGTAAACTTAAATTTTGACATCTTAAATTAATGATTCTAGGAATCAGGGAAGTAATGAATATTCCTCCTTACAAATACATTGAATCTAGTTATGAGATTTTACGGTTATTCTATATATGGTACATAGTAGGAAAGGAGGAAATAAAGAATTGAAGAATCTAGGAATCGGGGAAGTAATGAATAGGTATGAGAAATTTGTAAGGAGGAATATTCGATAAGGAATAGGTAATGCTTTTGCACTTATTAACAACCAAGAAACAAGAGAAAAGAAAGTTAGGTTGAATGCAAAGAAATTTTAAGGAGGACTTGAATGGACTCATAAAATAAACGAGTGGTTTGACCAAATTCAGGAGAGCCATCAACTTGTAGGCCATTTCGAATAGAAACATAGAAACACTTACTGCTCATATTATTAGACAACATTAATGTGTGTTTTTGCGTTGTGTGCTGTGAAGTATAAAGTTGTGTGACATATATAATAAAAAAAAAAAAAAAAAAAAATTAAAATAGGGTTTGTTGTGTTTTGGAATTATCGTAAAGTGGTAAGTGTATTTTTTTTACGGTTATTATTTATGTGCTTTTTATAGAGAAAACTCATTTATTTTATACCAGCGATATTGAAAAAAGGGCCGAATCAATACAGAACATCGGGTGAATTCTCTTTAACCACTTAACTTTAAGCCCCACAAATTAGGTATTCTATTATTGAAATTCAATTGGATGAGTCTCAAAGTATAACCACTGTGAAACATTTTCATGAACCTATTACTCTAGTGATATTTCTCTTCACTAATTATTGATATAACAGTGTTTCTCTTCGTATTATAAGAGTAAAGATGAACTAAAAAAGAAATACTTTAAAATCCCCCATTGGTATATATAATAATAATAATAATAATAATAATAACCAGAATTTTGGCATTTGTATGCACAGCTCAAATTATTGAATAAATAAATAAACAGAAATTGGTTTGTGCATCAAAAGAAAAAAGGTTACATGTAAGAGTTTAGGTCCAAAACACTTCAGCCCATCTCACGGCCCAGCATTGCAGCCATTACCAGAAGTAACTCACCCAACCCCCAAGCTCCTAAAACCCTGCTTCTCATCCCTCCACTGCCCCTAAAACCCATCATCCCCTTCACTAACAGAGCTCCTCACCCGCTTGTCAGCCACCACCTCCTCCTTCGCGCCTCACCCTCTTAACACTCTGAAGCCAAGTCTTGACCGCCCTTTGCTTCAGTTCTTCTTCCGCTGCTTTGCTCCCGATTTGGCCACGGTATTTCTTAATTGCCCAATTTTCTTCTTTAGGTTCAATTTATATTTTCTTGTAAATCTGTTTAATTTTTTCACTTTTGTTTTGTCGAGTTGAGAATCGAGCTTGGTGGTTGCAAGGCTCGGGCAATTATTAGCTAAAAATATCATTATCTCTTGTGATGCTGTGTAGGCTAGTGGTCTGTGTTGAGGGTTTATTTGGTTGCTGTGTACTGTTCTTGGTTTCTCCATTTGGGTTTGTCAATTTTTTTTTAGATGAATGAGGTTAACTATATGTTGGATTGATGGCAGGATCAATATTAAGAAGGAGACGGTATAAAGTTGTGTCTTGGGTTTTAACGTTGGTGGGCTTTCAGCTTCTTTTTTTTCTTCGGGTCATTGGTTTCAAACCTTTTTTTTTCTTCTCAATTTTGCCCACCAGGAGCATGTGCATAACTTGTCTAGAGCTTGTTTGAGCCGATTTGCTTAGAACTTCGGGAATGTGAATGTTTATGTTAACAACTGAATTACAAGAATTATACAGAATTTTGTAATTTGGGAGTTGTAGTTGTCTAAGATAAGATTTTGCTTAGTTGGGTATTCGAATTATAATTTATTACCTGAGTGTGTGTTTCAGTTTTCTACGTTTTTTGGAAGATATGTTGGCTGTTAATATTGTATACCACCTCAGCTTTCGTTTGTTTTGTTTTTCAGAATCAGAGAGGTTGTCTTGTGAAAGATGAGTCTCATATCTCAAAATATTCCGTCGGCTTTTAAAGCTCGCAAGACTAATAGGGAGGATACAGATGAGCCATCATTTCTGCAAGGGAATGAACACAATGGAGATGGAAAAGAATCTAGTTTAGATATTATGAGGACAAAGAAGAGAAAGAAAGCACGCAAGGATGATGATGAGAAGGTGGCAGCTGAGCAGGAAAGGGAAATGAAGAAGCTGGAAAGCTTTTTGTTTGGATCAATTTATTCCCCAGTTAAATTTGGGAAGGAGGATGAGGAGGAAGCTGGGGACACTGTGGATACAGGCTCTGCTTTATTCTTCGTGGACCGTTCTGCAAATAGTTTGGCCCCTATTTATGAAGAGGATGCAGACTTCTCGGAAGAGGAGAATAAGCGAAGGAAACCTGTCTGGGTGGATGATGAAGAGGAAAAGGCCAACATAAATATTGCTAAAGTTAACAGACTAAGGAAGCTGAGGAAGGAAGAGAATGAGAGTTTGATTTCGGGTTCAGAGTATGTGTTAAGATTGAGGGCTCAACATGCTAAGCTGAACCCAGGCACAGAATGGTCTCAACTTGATTCAAAGTTCAGGAACAATAGATATTCTGATGATGAATCATCAGATGACGAAAATGGGGTTGTAGTGGCCCGTGGCTACAAGGATGTAGAAGCTGTTGATGATCTTCTTCGTACAAATGAGGATCTTGTTGTGAAGAGCAGTGGCAAATTGTTGCCTGGACTTCTTGAATATTCAGTACTTGTGAATGGAAATGCAGAGGAACCTTCTAAAGGTCCAATTAATTCAGTACAGTTTCATAGAAATGCTCAGTTGCTCCTCACTGCTGGGTTGGATCGAAGGCTTAGATTTTTTCAGATTGATGGAAAACGGAATACTAAAATAGAAAGCATCTTCCTTGATGATTGTCCCATTCGAAAGGCATCTTTTTTGCCTGATGGATCTCAGGTTATTATAGCTGGAAGGAGGAACTTCTTTTACAGCTTTGATTTAGTGAAGGCAAAGGTTGATAAAATAGGTCCCCTGGTTGGCAGAGAGGAAAAAAGCTTAGAAGTTTTTGAGGTTTCCCCTGATTCTAGCACAATTGCCTTTGTGGGCAATGAAGGTTATATCTTGTTGGTTTCCTCTAAAACGAAGGAATTGATTGGGACACTCAAGATGAATGGAACTGTTCGCTCTTTATCTTTTGCCAATGATGGGAAGCAATTATTGAGCTCCGGCGGTGATGGACAGGTTTACCACTGGGATCTGAGAACAGGGGCCTGCTTCCACAAGGCAGTTGATGAAGGTTGCATAAATGGTACAGCTTTGTGTACATCTCCAAATGGGACCATGTTTGCTGCTGGTTCAGACAGTGGGATTGTCAATATTTACAATAGAGAGGAGTTTTTAGGGGGAAAGAGAAAACCTATCAAGGCCATCGAGAATCTTACTACCAAAGTAGATTTTCTGAAGTTCAATAATGATGCTCAAATATTGGCTATTTGTTCAAGCATGCAGAAGAACAGCTTAAAGTTGGTACATGTTCCATCATTTACTGTATTTTCCAACTGGCCTCCTCAGAAAAAGGCCCTACATTATCCCCGATGTTTGGATTTTAGTCCTGGCGGAGGCATCATGGCTGTGGGTAATGCTGCTGGAAAAGTGTTATTGTACAAGTTGCATCATTACCATCATGCATAGGATGAATGTTGTGAGGGGCAGTAATGGATCACTTAGAGGTAAGGTTTACCGACATTTCCAATTAAATTGGTCTAGGAAGACAGTTTATCTTGGGATTCACTTATAGGTGCCATTCTTCAAGAGCTAGGATGGCTTCTTTTTCCAGAAAAATTGCTGCTCTAGTTTTGACCTATAATGTATTTCTTTCTTTTTATCCGGACATTGTACCAAATTTTCATTAAATTTTTTGGCAGTCCTTTTTTTGGTGGCAAGGTCTGCACATTTCATGTAATTCCATTCTTTCATTCCAATCAATTGTATTGCAAGAACCGCCAATGTTTTCTGCTACACCCGAATTTTATACATAACAGGGTTGGTAAGCCACGAGTCAGGTGGAAGTAGGTATGGCTTTGAATCATATTGTGTAGGTGCAAGCGACCAGTTTTTGCAAACACAAAATGTAGCCTTGTAATTTTTGTCTCTCTGCGCCTCTGAACCTCATTTGTACCCAACACAAAATGTATTATGAAGCAAATATAATTGTATGTCATTATCTTATTGTTTATACAAAGCTGGTCTGTATGTACGCAGTAAAGTTCACAGCTAAGCCACCAAAGTTGTCTAAACCAACCCGGACAACCCACCTACCACCGTCGCCACCAGCCATGGTTGTCAGTGGTACCTCACTCTCCTCCTCTTCTAGGGTGGGAGGGTCGGGAGGGGAGAAAGCACTCTTAGAAATCCGGTCCGCTTAGAATTTCGATGCTTTTGAATTAAGCTTTCTTAGCATAATTTTACTTCAGAGTTTAACAGTACTTTCATTTTACTATTCTTTTTTCCTCAGGTTCACCATCGTCAACTTTTCTGAGTGAAGGCATGGATAGTTTGGGAAGGCCCCATAACACTTCCTGCAAACCCTATACACAAACTTGTATTCCGAAAGAAAGAAAACAAGAAAAGAAAAAAGGAAACTCGAAAAACATCTTTACCCACTCCAAATTGCATGGTTATCTTCAATAATATGAGAAAAAACCTATACATTATCTCACTTCTCCAAGCATGAAAAAATCACCAACAATGGCTAGAAAATTTCCACTATATGGAAGGTGCTTTACAAATCGACCAAAAAGAACTTACTACTGGGTGATTTTATAACCCATCGCAGGCAGCTCTACCTCCTTGCATCAAATATACCAATTTCCTTCATTTCTTTTGTTTTCACAGTTGATTTCAACCCCCCAAAAAAAAAAAACTACAAGCCACTAAAATTAAACGCTAATGCAGGATCTGTCTAAGCTACTGCCTCTCACGTAGCAATCTCATCAACCTCAGAATTAAATACAAAACTTGGAAATGTAGTAGTAATATCCCTGCGTAGATAAATCATAAAATTTTAAGAGATTTATGAAAGAATGACATCTGTATATGAAATAGAAAAGACTTGTTCCATACCTAAGATAGGGGAGGGTCATGATCTTTAATAATGATGGATTCTTAGAGACAAAATTGTTCCATTCATATTTGTCGATCTTCCCATCTTGATTTACATCAGCTTCCAAGAAAGTCTGGCCACAAATATGAGAAAATTAAATGCCAAATTAATTTTGTGATGTTAGAAGCAAGGGAAATTGGAAATTAGAAAAGAAAAAAAGAAAACAGAGATGAAAATAAAATGCTGAGATATTCAGTTTCGTCTTATCAAGATACTGAAACACAAAGAATGACTCTAAAATGTATTCACTATGGATCTCCAAATCGGTACCCCAAAATGCACTTAAATTATTATATAAAAGTCTTATGTCAATCCCAATGTACTGGCATTCATAAGCTCAAATAAGATCAGCTATCTGCATTCCAAATATTTAACTTAACCATGTTTTCAAGAAGAAACAATCTGGAAGGCTTCAATGAGTTTCACGAGACAAATGCATACAGTTTTGTGCCTCATGTGCTCAGGCATGTCATTAATGACAACTTACCTTGTCAAGAATTAGCTCAATAGTCTCATCAGCCAGCTTCATTTCAGACTCACAAAGAAGTGCAATTAACATTTGTTTGACCTGCCAAAAACACAAACAATGAAGATGTGGGCAAGGAGGTTTAACATATCCATAAGTGAATAGGTTTGATTAGAAACTTGCAAATAGGTGCCACCATAGTAGAAAAGTAATATAAAAGAGAACATCTGAGAAGAACAAAATACAGAGACCAACTCCTAACCTTTAAAAGATCTGGAAAAAAAATCTAAACAGGAAGAAATATTCAGACCGCATCTAAGGAAACGGAGTTTCAGAATATTCAAGTGAAAAGAAAAAAAAACAATATATGCTGGAACCCTTCCAATGACATTATTTTTCATGTTGCCTATGCTCTCGATCTCGGAGATTACTAAAAAGAGAAACAAAAATTCACAAGTTGCTGGAAATTCACTTGCTTTCTTTTTAGAATTCTAAACATTATCTTTCCATTTCCTCATCCTTCGAATCTTTTATAAGGTTAGTTTTATAAATTCAATTTGCTGAGCCACGCAGACTACTAAATTCACTTCCTTTTATTTTATTTTTGAGAATTCTAATTTTTTTTTTCAACTCCTCATCCTTCTAGTGTTTTATAAGGTTGGTTATATAAATTCAATTTGCTGAGCCATTGATGCTCTACTTAAACCAACTTCATGATGCAAAGATATTTTTTACAGTCTCGTTACCATGGTGGACATAATACTTCACCACCACTGCCATCAGTTCTAGCTATGTGAACTTCATGTTACAGTCCCATTCCCACAAGGAACATAATACTTGACCACCCCCGCAACAAGTTCTAGTTTTGCCAACTTCATGATAGAAAGATACTGGTTACATTACCACTCACACAGGAGACACAATGCTTAACCACCCATGCAAAGGGTTATAATTAATTTTATTTCCTAAACCATTTGGCCATAACTAAAGAGCCATACAAAGTAAGGGGGGAAAAAACAGGAAGATGGACACCAACATACCTCTTGGCGCTCAATAAATCCCGTGCTATCCAAATCATAAAGCTTAAATGAAACTGCGACACAACATTAAAAAAAAGTGCAAATTTAGAACGTAGTATAGGTATGTAGAGTGCAGTGGCACATAAAAGAACCCTGCTCTTTGAAATACTTCTAAGATATTTATATGTCCTTTCAACTTACAATCAATCTTGTCCTCTAGTTGGGCATTGGGATGGAAGACATTGAGTGATTTCACAAAGTCACTGAAATCAATAACACCCTTTCGCTTCACATCAAACAGATCAAATATCTGCATGTAGAGTCGGTTCAAGACCAAAAGTCAAAAAAATTTGCAAAAGGAAATTTAGAGAGCAAAGATAAGTGATATTTATCATCAGTCATTTTTTGTAACAGTGCAAACTAGGACAATAGAATACCCAGCACCAGAGGTCCTGTGTTCGAATCCCCCTCCCCTAATATCACTTGTGTCAAAAAAAAACAAAACAAAATACAAGTTTCCTAATATAAGAATTTTCAATGGAAAGACCCACAAGTTTCATGAAATTAGTTTTATGTTGTAAAATTTTCTAATTAATTAACAACATTATTTCAATGTTTATAAATATAAACATAATCTGCACAAAAAACTACAAAAATAATTAAAATGATAAATTACTTACCCGATTTGCAAAGAGATTTTCTTTCTTTCTATTCTTGAAAATGGCTAGCTGAAATTCTTCCTGCATAAGAAAATTCAATGTCACGTTTTCCTAATAGATGTGTGCATATAATTCTTTGTAACATTATGTTACTATAATAGATATTTAGCAAAACATTTTAACCAGATAAGTGTATATCTTTAACATAAATATGTGTAATTTATAATTTGAAGCTGATTTGGAAGATATTTGGACCCGAATTGTAAAGGCTAAGCTCCATGTTCATCAACATATGATACACTGCCATCCCTTTTAACGCTATTGAAACTTTCAATGATATAATGTCGATACTGTTAACTGTTATCGCATAGTCAGAACACCCCAGTCCTTTTCCATCCACTCTAATAAAAACTTGAAGTTCTAAAATAAAGAAGGCTGGTGAAGAGGAGAGGGACAGTTAGCATGATGGTTGCAAGGAGATACATACCTTGTTTATCAACCCATCATCAATCACAGAACTGCTAATACTCTTATATAGCTCAAAGAGTGCTTCAACTTCACTCACCGTAACTGGGGAACAAAATGATCTCATTAAAGGAAACTGAGTGAGTGAGTTTGCATGTGTGCGTTAGAGAGAGACAAAGAGATGAAATGATGAGTTTAACTGATATATCTTGTAAAAGAAAATTCTGAGATAAAGGAAGATATTTTTTTTCAAAGCCCTTGATTATCCTTTGAGGCCATAATTGGGTCTATAACCCATCAGAGCTAACACCAGTTAATTGAGAAGAGAATTTAAAGGTTCATCCCAAGAGAACTTCTATTATTCTCCCATCTTTTGGGTTTTAATAGGAGCCAAAGCCCAATTCCTATAAACAAGAACTCTGAAGTAACATGAGATCAATTGGTCTTACAATTCAGAAAAAGATAGATTTTTTTATTATTTTATATTGGCTGAGACAACTGAAACAAGTAGGAGAACCTGATAATAATTAGTCAAGATTAACAAACTATATATAGGGCTTTCATTGTTAACCATAGATTAAAATCAATGCTGGTTGGATGGGTCAGCTATCATATCCAGAATTACCAGAGACTCGGGGACGTAAAAACATTTAGTCATCATGAGTCAAAAGGAGAAGTGCCTAGAACATCATGATAGGAAAATGCAAAACCATTAACGAAACAGTGAACTTACAAGCTGTTTGCGAAGCAAGGCTCACTGGATCCTCGTGTCCAGGAAACTGCCGCCTTGCTTTAGAACTAAAACAACCCATTTAGAGCATTTATCCCACGCCAAAGGTCAGTTTACCCTCCCCTCCCCAGGCCTTAGGCCTCCTTTGTACCCAAAAAGAAAAACGGCATATTAGTGAAGAAGACAAAGCAGTAATTTTGGAATAACGCTTAGCATCACTAAAATACATCATCAAGCCCATCTTAACATTGCATCTACAGATACAAATTCAAGCACATAATTAGTAAATAAAAGAATCCCATAATTACATTGCTGGACTTAATTTGTAGCTCTAAAAAGTAAAAAAAATCAAATGCACAAGGAATAATTAAAACCATCCATCAATTTGTATGAAAAAAACATTGACAACCAGAATTGAACTTATAACAGCCATCCAATACCTAAAAAAAATTACTATCTAACTGCTTGGAAAATAGATTAGGAAGAGAAAAATAAAGAAAGGTATAAATTATTTCACATACTAAGATTCAAAAATGTCAAGCTCCATTTTTCTCTTAAATTCCTAAAAGAACTAAAGAAAAATCAATCATATTCCTTTTTCTTCTTAAAATATCAACCCAATGAAATAGTTCGATTGGACATAGATAAGCTCTAAGCAACAAATTAAGTAGTTAACATAGAATCGAACAAATGATTTGGTAGAGTTCATATCATTTTAGAGGTCCCAATGAATGACATATCCTAGAATAAAAATTTTAATTTTCCTCACTCATCTTTTCTCCTCCTTTAATTTCCCAGCAACCAAACATAAAATTCCAAGAAAAACATCAAAACCAAAACCCAGATCACAAAACCCCCTGCATATCACAAAAATGAGCACTTTCTGAAAAACACGCCACAAAAACCAAAACCACATCATACCCACAAAAATTTAACCCAAAAGGGACCAACTTTATCCCACAGTTTAAAGAAAAGCAATGTAAAAGAGACTTACCGACCAAGAAATTGGCCGGAAAACTACTGCTCCGCTACCAATTTTGGAGAGGGAAATGCTTTTATACAGAATCAGAGAGGCAACGAACTGGAACAGAGGCAGAAAAACAGAATTGGGTTTATTGGGGAAGACAAATAAGTGTATTTGGAGATGTAAATCGGACGGCTGAGGTTGATCTTGATCTCGAAGTTCTCGAGAAATTCACGCTTATTTGTCTAAAATAGGAGAAATTAAAATTCCACCTAATAGAGCTGCTGGCGAACTTAGAAACAAAAGCCAACAAGGGAAATAAATAAGTAGCAGGAGGAGGGAGGAGGACAGTCCAGGGCACGTCGGGTTAGAGCGCGTGATGGGAATTGGACTTCGCGGTTTGGGTTTTTCCTTTTTTTTAAAGGGGTTTTGGTATTTGGTTTGCAAATCAGAATATTCCGATTATGAAATTTAAGATACTTTAAGCTCTGCAGCCAATTTTTTTATATCTAATCAAATATTTTTAACCTATTTGGATAGTTATGATAAGTGTTAAGATTTTCCAACTAAATCTATCCAAGTATAGCTATTTATTTTTAATTTTTATACTCAAGAAATCCATATCTACTAAAGCCCAAAAGAGAAAGATATAAAAATCAGCAAAGAAATCAATAACTTCACGTTATTACCTAAAATGAATTTATCCCAAGTGTTATTGTATTATTGATCGAAAATAGTAAAAAGTGATATCCCTATTGTATGAGAATTTCTCTCATGATGAGGCTAAGCCCATGTCTGAATATTCGTAGGGTATTCAATTGAGTAAAGTCCATAAAAATTTGGATGTATTCAATCAACACTTGTAATAATTGTCATTGTATGTTAAACGATAATGATCATATACTGACAACTATACGTGTTAAACATTTTTGCTTTCTTAAAGAAATAGAAATTTCATTTAAAACCAAATATCGAGAAACATGTGCATCATATAAAGAAAATGTTACTAACATAATTAGGGGTGGTTGCAGTTCGATAACCTTGAATTTTTGCTCAAACCGCAAACCGACCGCTTTTTGCAGTTTACCGCATTGCGATAAACCGCAAAAAACGATCGGTTATCGTGAATTAGCGGTTTAAAACCGCAAGTTCTTTTTTTGTCATAAAAATTTAATCTTCCACATTTTAGGCCTAGTTTTGATGCTTCTTTTGAAGCCTTTTGAATTCAAGCATACTTTAACCCAAAAATATAAATTCACAATCTCAACTTCTCAAGCATATATAAATTCACATCCTCCTCAACTTCTCAAGTATTCACAACCTAAAGAAAATTAAAGTTACAATTCCAAGCATTCCAATTAAAGTTAAACGTCTCAAGTGTTCACAACATCAACTTCTCAAGCATTCCAATTCCAAATCCTTTAAAAGTTACAAACCAAAAGGAAAATGCAATGCAAAATTAATTAAAGTTACAACCCAAAGAAAAAATTCAATTCAAAGTTAATTAAAGTTACAAACTAAAAGGAAAATGCAATGCACCAATATTACAAACTCAAGTGTCGGTGGTGGTGAGTGGATTTGAAGGAACCCTTTGTGTTGTTTGAGCACCAATGCTATCTCCAAATAAAACAACATAAGTTTAGTACATTTTATTATAAGAAAAAGCATAAATAACATGAGCATAAATAAACTAATTACTTACAAGATAAGTGGTCTTGTTATACAACGGCTATGATTAAACAATAAAATGCAATTTTTTTTATTTAAATATAGTCGTGGTTGCGGTAACCGCAAGTTATGAAAATCAAATACCGCAACCGCAACTGCAAATGCAGTTCCGTTCTTCATACCGCAAATGCGGTTCGGTTTCCTGCGATTGCGATTAAATGTCGGTTGGTTTTTGCGGTTTTTCGGTCTAAAATGCAACCCCTAAACATAATAGTCAAAAATCCAACAAGAACTGAAAATCACTTTCGCAATTCGACTACTAGCATACAAAGAAGCACTTATTTTTTGGTATAACAAAACTTATTTACTACGTTAATCCCACAAAAACTTTTATATTACTATATATTACAATAATGAGAACTAATTTATACATGCAAATACATCTTTGTATGCTTAATCAATTTATTATTGCATAAGGGATTTCCAATACTTCTTTGTATGTTTAATTAGTACTTCTTATTTGGTCAAACAAAATTTCTTAATTTATTACATTATATACTATGTGGGAGCAAGAATTCTCCAACCAATAATGTAACAACACGTACATTAGATGCAACGAACATTGTTTCAATAACTGGTAGAGGAAGTCATTTCTGATAGGGCCATTGAGAAGTTGAGCCACACTTCAACCCAACACTTTTAGGATCACCTTTAAACTCAGGAATGGGATCAACCATGGAGAAGTAGTTGATCTAACCATTTCATTGATTCCCATATCTAGATTCCTCGACTCTTTGCTTTCCTCTTTTTTGGTAAGTAAACATTCCCAATGTGAGAAACTAATCACCCCAAGACCATAAAAGCCAGAATCCATCAAACAAAGAAGGTAACATGCCCTAGAAGCAAGAACTTTACCTCTTTGGAGTTGCATATTCTAAGTCTAACTTAGGTGTTGGAGACCCTTTGGCTCACCCTACACCGGTGTTCTTGATATGGGTGGTTATGTGTTGTTAATTATCATAATATTATTTGATTAATGTTGACATGTTCATATATTATTGGTGATGGTTGGAAATCTTGGGTTGATAAAGAAATTATGGAAAATAAGGTAATGGGAATGATCTTTTGTGTAGTTGAGTTTCACCATTATGGTGACCAAGTTCATATTGAGATTAATGGTTTAGGCAAGACGACTAGCAAACGGTGAATTATGAGATTATTGAAATGAGTGTTAGTTCATATAAATGGGCACTCGAGACCAAGTGGTATAAGTATGGTATGGGATGTGCGAGGTCTACTTGTTCAGTTATATGAATTAACAGGAATAGACGAATCTACACTACTATCTTTGATTTAATATTGCATGTCACTCAATTTTGTTATATCAATCTATTGTGGTAAGGTTTATATCTCTACTGAATTGTGGTTTAGCTCACCCCTTTATAGACCTTGTAGCCTTAAAATCCAGTAAACGAGTGGTAGGTGAGCTAAGGTTAAATTAGATGAGAGTGGTAAAACTTTATCTATTTCTTATACATTTGTAAGATTTTATACCAATTTGTATAAAAATAAAAATAAAAAGTTTATTTACACCTATATTTCGGCCATTTTTATTTTACCTTTTATTTATCACACACCGAGTATGGGATTTCCACTATACCCCGAGTATGAGATTTCTGCAATTATCATAATGATAGTTCTTAATGATAGTTTGGCATATCTTAGACTGTATTTGGCATTTGAGCTTCACTATTTAGAGTAGAGTACCATTAGGGATGGCAATGGATCGAATCTGGGGTGGGTATGCATTCCTATTTCCATCCTCGTTAAGCTTTTTTCTCTCATCCCCCCTTTATACCCGCAATATTCATATCGGAAATCCCTGTCCCCACATTCGTTAGGGAATGGGTTCCCTGACCAACCCCGTTACTGAAGAAAAAAACCAATATAAAACTACTTTGTTGAAAGAAAAAAAAATTAAGTTAAGATAATGAATATATATAATATATACGTATAAGACAATATAATGATGTTTACATATTGACTATAACTTAACTAAATATATAAGTAGTATGGCTTAAGATTCGTATAAATGATATAAATATATAATATAATAATAGGATATATATATATATATATATTCTAAACAATGAGGGTTCGGGTCGAGGATTAAAATACCATCCCTGCCCCTCCCCAAACACCATACCCAAAAAATTCCCCATACTCATCTCCATACCTATTTTGTATCCTTCATACCCGACCCATTAGGGTCGAATTTCCACAAAGACCCTTACTTGAGGGGAAAATTGTCATCCCTAAGTACCAGGTATATGCCACTTCCTATTTTAAGATGCGCGAGACCCAAGGATGGTATATTGTAGTTATTCTTGGTTGTCTTTGGCCCTAATGAAACCAAAAAAGAAAAGGACCTAACTCTAAGATTTTCTTTA